CTCCGGGCAGTGGGGGATGGGGCGTGGAACCAGCCTCCACCTGGCCGTCTCGCGCCGTGCGCTGTTCCTCGCCAGCCGCATCCAGCCCGATTCCGCGATCCCCTCCCACGCGCGCTTCCCGGGTCTCTTCTCGGTCTGCGCCTCCTGTTGGAGGCCCTCCGGTTCGCGGAGATGAACTCGAAAGGCTCTTCTAATGAAACTCTTCCTTTTCTTTTTCTTTCTCCCATGCTGCATTCTCCTCTCCCCCACTCAGATCGCTCTTTTCTCTCCAAAAGTCCCTCCTGCCTAGAATTTGGCGGCTTCCTCGCGATTTGCCTCCCTGGAACTTTGGTCTCAGCCCTTCGGGGCCACACCAGAGTCTGGAAGACTGCGCCCTGGGCAGTCCACAGAGGCGCCAACACGAGGCCTGAGTCCTCCCCAGGAGCTAGATGTATAAGGGCAGCGGACACAGGTGAACATCTCTCGGGAGGGTGTAGCCAGGACAGGCAAGGAGAAGGAAGACAGGAAGAGCTTTTCCGTTTTCTTCGCTGTGATCTTTGTCTCCTCGGAACTCCTAACCTATCCCTCTCTCTGCTGCTTGCTGGGAGCTTGAGTCTGGCGCCGGTACCCCTAGGTGCCTGAGAGCTCGATTTTATTAAAGGTTGGTAGGGGCAGGGCGAGGATTCTGTCCAGTGATCTCGCTACTTCCCAGATTCCTCCAGAACACAACATGGAGGTGGGCAAAGCAAAAATCTAAAAGTTTGCATTACTCTATAGAGGCAGTTTAAGCTAATGGTGTTAGATTTAAAGTCTAGAATTCAATCTATTTGAAAGTCAAGGGCTCGTGTATATCCCCTAAATACATCACATACATATGTATGCATGTGTATTTTGTGTATACACATGCATGTAAACATGTATTGTATATATGGGTATGCCTATGCACATATGTATAAATTCACATGCACATTTTCTTTTCATACACGTGTAAGTATACCTATACATATACCCTCTATGTATACAAATGTATATATGTATGAATGCATGCTATGTATATACACTTGTGTGCATATATCCTATAGGTACACATATATGTATATGTATGAAAATATAGTGTGTATGCACATACATATACATATACATCTGTGTATGTAATTTCTTCTAATGACGGCTTGGATTTGAATTTTCTTTAAGGATCATTCCCATAAGTGAAATAAAAAAAAAAAAACACTTATCTCCATCCTAAGTGGATCTTCCCTTTGGCATTTTTAATATAGAGGCACAATGAAGTTTCTGAATTGCCAAAAGAGCAAATTTGGTCGATCAACAGTGAAGTAATCCTTCGATAGTGGTCTGGGTTCTGGTGCTTCTGGTAAATAGTGTAATTCGTCTTTAAATCCTCCAGCGCCTGGTCTCTGAGAAAGTTCTGGGTTTGAAGGAGGTTCCTGCCAAAGTGGGGGAGGGGAAAGGGGATAGGGAGAGAAACAGAATAGGGAGAAGACGTGTTTTCCAAACTGTTTTTGGACTGTTTTCTCTATTTTTAAAGAGTTAACTGGGGAGAGGGGTCAGGAGGAGCCAGAGATTGAGGCTCCCAAAAGCCATTACCAGCGGGAGTTGATATGACGCTCTTCAATCTTTGTGCCACAACGCAAGGCACTGAGAGGTCTGGCAGGCAGTGCCCTGCCACCGCCTAATTGGCATAGGCAGCAGCTGCCAATCATCTATCACTTGGCAACAAGTTACACCTGCAGCTCCAGTTAATACTTGTGCACATGGGCACCCATAGTGTGTGCCCGCCTGCTTGGGCCCAGAGAACATCTCCTCACTAAAAATGACTTATGGAGAGCGCCCCAAATGCTGAGCATTAGTGCGAGCTCATAAAAGGCTAACCCATTTACTTCCCATTTAGGTGCTCTGGAAAACAAGGGTAATGTCCTATTTGGAAACAATTTTTAGGACTATGTAGAAAGAAACTAAACCATTTCAAAGTCAGCTATACAAGTTCCCCAAAACATAAAGCATTCCTGCAATGCACACTGGAGTGCAGGGTGGTTATACAATAAATTGCTCCATTGATATGGAAAATAATGTGCCAAGCCTGATTCATACAAAGTATTTTCAGGGGGTCTTAGGCTATTTGGTTTAAAATCTAAATTGAAAAGCGGAGGAAAGAAATCTTTCAATGGCTAAGTGGATAATATAGTTTATAATTTGTAAACCATTTCCTTTATTTCAGTCTTGCTGACTTCCCATAACACACTGGATCTCACTGCCTCTTAAATTATCAAAGGAAAAAATGGATCTATAGTATTCTTAAACAATATTCTTGTTCTTTTTCTTGTTCATTCACAATGTAACTGATATGTGGAGGTAGTACATGAAACAAATAAAAAGATTTAACAAACTCGATTGGTGAGATAAGAAGCTGGTTGAAAACCAAGTTTATAACCTAGATATTTAGTGAAAGATAAATATGAAATGACGTTTCCTTTCTAATATAATTATATATTTTTCATTGAGTTCACTATTAAATGGTGAATAACCTGAAATGAAATCAGTTTAATCTGCAGAGACCAATTTACTGTTGCATTGCATACTATAGCAACCTTACAATAATAATAAAAAGCTATAGTAATAATCATAGTAATTGACAGGAAAGAAGGCATTATCCCTGAATTGTGGACAAGCCATAGGGTCAGGAAATTCACAACCTCAGATTTTTTTTTTCTTTAATTGGGGACAGAGAGTTGGGGGGGGGCGCGAGTGGAGGTGTCACGTATTCATTGCCCAACATACTTAAACATTTTATTACTACCCTAATGATCATTATCATATGTGTGTTTACTTCTATTACAAGAAGGTCAGTCTCCACCTCTGGTTAGGCTCCACTTCACCCACCAGCAATCTCCCAAGCACCTCCCAGTCTGGTGCTCAGGGAGACGCCCCAGTTACTCCCTCAGGGCACAGGAGGGGTGCGTGGTCTCTCAACGGATTTTTCTGGGCCACTTTCCCGGATGGACAAGGTACCCCGCGTGCAGTGGTGTTAGGAAAGATACTGTGTATGTTTCCGCCACTCCAGGAACCAAGGCTTTCATTTGCATAAATGCAAGAAAAACATTCTCTGCCTCTTGGTCCCCAAACTCCACTTTTCCGACTCGCTTTTCTGGAGGCCTCGCTCTGTTCACGCAGTTTTGGAAGTTCTTAACCAAACAGCTTGTGGAAAGATGCTCTCCAGAAGAGCGTGGGCTACGTCATTCTTGTGCGGTTTTAAACTTTTTCAACTGTTGTTAAGTAACTAGATTGCAGATAGTTCTTGTTTTCGACCTTACCAGAAATTCCATTTTAGGAGAAGAGTATGTGACTGTAACAGCTAGATTTATTAAAAGACATCCTTAATAAAAATTAATTAATTAATTTAAAAAGTTCAGGGCTAATGCTAGAACAAGCTATGGAGCCAAGCCCGGCAGGCACAAATGCTCCCCCGTTGCGGGAATTATTGGGGCCTGGACTGGGAAGGCCCTGCTTAGGAGACGGGGCACTGGGGAACTTCAGAAAACGCTGCATGGGAGCTCAGATCCCTGGGAGAGCGAAAGGGACTGAGTTGCCCAAGCCTCGCAGATCTCGAGGTGGGGGCTTTAGAATGGCGTTCCTCGGACAGTATTTCCTGCTCCTGAGGTCGCGCCCTTCCTCCCCACCCCAGGGGCGGAGAGGAGGGCAAGGTTCCTGCCCCAGTCCCCAACTTTCCCCCTTCCAAGCTGGCGCAGAGCTGGCCGGCAGTGGGCAGAGGAGAAGCTGGGGGTCAAGGATGCGCCCAGTTAAACGTGGCTGGGGGCTGTATTCTGCATTCCTCACCTCCCCCCTACCTCCCAAACCCTGAATTCTCTCCGTCTACTTTTAAACCCAGTCGTTCATCACGCGGAGCGCGCGGGCTGGGAGAGGCGAGGGGGAGCTCCGAGTTCGCCGCCGCCGCCGCGCGCTCTCAGGAAGCAGCTCGGCGGTGACCCCCTCCCGGGCCTCCTCTCTCCCCCCTCCCTCCTTCCTGCCCCTGCTCCCCCTTCCTTCCTCCCCTCCTCCCCGCTCCGCCGCCCGCGCCCAGTGCATCTACTCCCTCCCCACGTCACTCGCCAGCGCGCCATGCAAATCACCGCCGCCGCCAGCTCCCATTGGCCGCGGCGCGCTCATTTAATGGCAGCCCGGGCCGGGCGTATGGCTGCTGGGCCCCGCGCGCCGCCGGCCCCGTTTGCGCCTCCGCTCCCAGCGCACGGCCCCGGGCAGGCAGCGGGCAGCCCGGGCTCGGCGGCGGCCCCGGCTGCTTCCTGGACTTCTCTGCGCGCCTGCGCCCCCTTGTCTGCCCCCGGCCCCCCTCCCCAACGGCACCGTGACCCCCCCAGCACCGCTCCCCCTCCGCTCCCCCCTCGGCGCCTCGCTCCCCCCTAGGCACCTGGGACCCGCACATGCCCGGCGCACGCGGCGCGCCGCCCTGCTAGAAGTTGCATCCCCGGAGTTGGAGGCCGCCGGGGACCGTGTGTGCAGCACGAAAGGAGACGGAGACGGCGCCGGGCGACCGCGGCCGCCGCGGAGGAGACGGAGAGTCCGGATCGGGGAGCCCGCGCATCATTCTCGTCCCCCAAAAGTGGAGCTGCAACTTGGCCACGATTTGCACCTGTTTGCGCTGCTCTGCCGAGAGCGACCGTGCTGCTGCTGCGGCGGCGGCTAGGACAGCGACCTCCGGTCATCACCCTCTTTGGCAAGTGGTTTGTGCGCGAGGAGAAACTTTCCACCTGTGAGCCGGACCGGCGCTGATCAGTGCGTGTGTTTTGTTTTGTTTTTTTGCCTCTTTTTTGTTGTGTTTGCCTCCACCTCCCCGCTTCTTCTCTCCGCTAAGACCTCTCTCTCCCCACACACCCGCCCCCCAAGTATTGTTCTGGTTGAGACCCTCTCCATCTCCCAGCCCCCCCCGGCCGGCCGTCTATGCTCCAGGACCTCTCCGCGTGCTGCCGGTGAACCCGCGAGCCGCCCCCATGTACAGCATGATGATGGAGACCGACCTGCACTCGCCTGGCGGCGCCCAGGCCCCCACGAACCTGTCAGGCCCGGCCGGCGTGGGCGGCGGGGGAGGCGGCGGCGGCGGCGGCGGGGGCGCCAAGGCCAACCAGGACCGGGTCAAGCGGCCCATGAACGCCTTCATGGTGTGGTCCCGGGGGCAGCGGCGCAAGATGGCCCAGGAGAACCCCAAGATGCACAACTCGGAGATCAGCAAGCGCCTGGGCGCCGAGTGGAAGGTCATGTCCGAGGCCGAGAAGAGGCCGTTCATTGACGAGGCCAAGCGGCTGCGCGCGCTGCACATGAAGGAGCACCCGGATTACAAGTACCGGCCGCGCCGCAAGACCAAGACGCTGCTCAAGAAGGACAAGTACTCGCTGGCCGGCGGGCTGCTGGCGGCCGGCGCGGGCGGCGGGGGCGCCGTGGCCATGGGCGTGGGCGTGGGCGCGGCGGCGGCCGTGGGCCAGCGGCTCGAGAGCCCCGGCGGCGGCGCGGCGGGAGGCGGCTATGCGCACGTCAACGGCTGGGCCAACGGCGCCTACCCGGGCTCGGTGGCCGCGGCGGCGGCGGCCGCGGCCATGATGCAGGAGGCGCAGCTGGCCTACGGGCAGCACCCGGGCGCCGGCGGCGCGCACCCGCACGCGCACCCGGCGCACCCGCACCCGCACCACCCGCACGCGCACCCGCACAACCCGCAGCCGATGCACCGCTACGACATGGGCGCGCTGCAGTACAGCCCCATCTCCAACTCGCAGGGCTACATGAGCGCCTCGCCCTCGGGCTACGGCGGCCTCCCCTACGGCGCCGCGGCCGCCGCCGCCGCCGCCGCCGCGGGGGGCGCGCACCAGAACTCGGCCGTGGCCGCGGCGGCTGCGGCGGCGGCCGCGTCGTCGGGCGCCCTGGGCGCGCTCGGCTCCCTGGTCAAGTCGGAGCCCAGCGGCAGCCCGCCGGCCCCGGCGCACTCGCGAGCGCCGTGCCCCGGGGACCTGCGCGAGATGATCAGCATGTACTTGCCGGCCGGGGAGGGCGGCGACCCGGCGGCCGCGGCGGCGGCGGCCGCGGCGCAGAGCCGGCTGCACTCGCTGCCGCAGCACTACCAGGGCGCGGGCGCGGGCGTCAACGGCACGGTGCCCCTGACGCACATCTAGGGACCCGAGGGGGACTGGACTGGCTTGGCCGGACCGAGGTTCCCTCCCGGTCTAGCCCCGCGCGGCCTTGCTTTTGTGCTGCAGCCGTTTCCACCTTCTCGTAGGAAGGAAAACACCGGCGACGAACACGAGGTGACAACCCCTCACCCCTGTCCCCCACTCGCCTTCTTTCTGGGAGCTTCTGGGAACGGCTAGGCGCGGACACCTAGACTGAACTTGGTGTTTTAGACTGGACTTGGTGTTTTCTGGAGACTTTTTGTACAGTATTTATCACCCACAGAGGCTGAAAAAAAAGCGTTTCTTGGCTGGAGGGGGACACAAAGACCAAAACCAAGCAAGAGGCGACTCCAACTTTTCTATCCCCGCCGGCGGCGCGCTCACTCGCTTCCTGGATGCCTCGCTTCCTGCTGGCGTTTGTTTGGTGGTCCGGGAGCTGTTCTGTTTTTTTTGTGTTTTTTTTTTTTTTAATCGATGTTAGTAAGGCAGATCCAAACACGAGGTTTTTTTTTCCGTAGCTATTACCACTTTTTGGGTTGGTTTGTTAATTTATACAAAGAGATGATGCCCCCACCCCCTTTTCTGATGGCAGCGTTCTATTCTTGAGTTTTGTAAAACTTTTCTGTATCTGAGCTTTTCCCATTTTTTTTTGTTTTGTAATTATTTCCTGTAAATGCATTGTGAAGTTTTAATTTAGGCGTTTCAGCGTGTGGGGAGGGGTATTCAGATTATGTACATAGTTTCCTAAAAAGCCTTTCTAGTAAAAATGAAAAAAAGATAACCCCTCTTTAAACATGCATCGAGTCAATAAATTCAAGAGAGGAAAAAAAAACAAACACGGTTCTTCCCATAAATTTTAAACGTGCTAGTTGTATATGCATGTTTTATGAGCTCAGAATACAATTAGTAAATCTGACGAAGGAGAAATTATCAGCATGGTTTAAGAGTGAAGGGAACCCCAGGGGAGAGGGTACGATTTTTACGGAGCTTGGTTCAGTGGAAGGGAAAGAAGTTAAAACCAATGGATTATTTTGTAGAGTTTACAGTGTTCATACAGAATGGGAAATCATTACAGGAAAAAAAAAAAAAGTCGTTTTATACGCTGGCCCTTTGGTGTGTTTTTTATCTTTGGGCCATCACTGCGGGATTTTTTTGATTCCTTGCTGTGGGCTTTGCATCCTCTAGCTGGCCCCAGATCCGTGCCCCCAGGAGAGAAGTGCCCAATGGCGGGACCAGGCCAAGGTTGGATGACAAAAGACCACTGCATGGGGCATAGGGGCCCCTATTTCCCTGCAATTAACAAGATTGCAGGTGGAATTTATCTAGATTTGGCTCCAGGAAACACAATCTCTGGACCAAAATGTACTGTAACCAAGCCCCCTCCGTCCCTCCCCCTGGCTTACTTCTCCCTGGGAAAGAGCAGAATAATTTTTGCTGGATTTTCGCACACAGAGACCCAAAATTGGCCACTCCCCCCACCCCACCCCCACCCGGAGTGAACGGCGATGCAAGTCGCTAACCGATGTGAATGCAAAATGCGCTGTTTATTATTCCTGACCAGATCTAAGGTTGGTTAACGCTTTAAAATTTTTAGTTATATTTTTTCTAGGTGTTTATTGGTACATTGCAGTTTTTTTCTTCTGGAATTTAAAGTTTTCTGTAAACTTTGTCTTCAAGTAATCTGACAGCATTAAATATTGAATTTAAAAGGTATACTGTAGCAAATACGTTTTGAAATTAGTCACAACATAAAAGTGAAATTATATTTTTTGAAAAAAGAAACCTTTAACCCAGATCAAAATATGTTGATTTCATCAACCCCCTCATTCTCTCAATATCTTTTCTTATCCTGGAATGAGTATAGACTCTCCATCCAAAAATGGGCCTATCGTAGTGGGTTAATGAGAACCCAATTCAACCTGCATTAGAAACAGCTTTAAGTAAAATGCTCAGCTGACAATTGATGTGTAATTTTTTTGGAGTCATTTTGATACTTTTGCTTAAACCACCCATTTCTTAGAGTGACTGAAAAAAATTTTAAAAATGTCGATTGCTTCTTCCTAACAAGATAATAAAGCGCCCCTCCTTTTTCTTTTCTTTTTTTTTTTTTTTTTCTGCCTTAGCAATCTGATCCTTTGTGAAACAGTGGTTGAATATATGAGGGTTGCTAAGCAGAACAGCATCAGAGATCTGGGAATAAGTGCCACACACACACAGTCCCCTCTGGGAGAGAAGCTTTGGGAGATTCTGTAATGCTCTGTTAACTCACCAGCCCATACAAGCCAGAGCACTCTGATATCCTCGGAGTTAAATAGACTCCCTAGTTCTTTTGCTAGCTCCCAAGCTAGATTTCTAAAGGGGCAGGTAGATGTATGGCCATGCTCACATTAAGTGCATGCCCAAGTTTATATCTATTCTCAATGACTGGCACCTAAGTCTTAGCTCATACCTATTAGTGATGTGGGTCACACTTGAAATGCCTGATGCCATAAGGTTGAGCAGTACGCTGGGGACTCCAGGCAGCCCTGTCTGTCGGCTTCCCAGAAGATGGATGGATTTAGAGTTGGGCATTTTTCTGTATGAGCCTCATACATAGTCAGCAGAAACACTCAGTGCCAGGTACCCCAAGTCACTTGTTAAAAACCCCAGAAAGGTCTTAAAATAAGAATTCCTTAAACTGCAGCAAATTTGGTTGGGTAGAGGGACAAGGAAAAAAGCAAATTCTTGAATGACTCCATTTAAAAACAATATGGGGTGGGTGGGGAGGAGAGATTAGCTAGAATTCCTCTCAGGAAGGGACCCCGTCTGGCCTACAGTGTTTCTCCTATTTAAATTCACGGATTTATCCCACTACAGGACCACACTGAATTCAGTGCTTGCCACGGTGCTCCACATCATATTCATGAAATATTATCTGATGGTAGTGATTACATGATGCCTTCAGTCACTTCTTAAATCATGAGATGGTATTTCTATTTTGTTTGAAACCGGTGTGGAGCACAGGGACCGGATTTTTGGGGGTCCTTGACAAAGTTTGCACAACTTCCAGCGGGGACCATTGCGGGAATTCTTCCTGGGCAGGCCTTCCCGCGCAGCCCGGCTCTCTCAGCTGAGGGTAACAGGATTTGCTTGAGGGTTTTTCCGCTTGTCTCCTAACCCTCTCTACACCTCATCTTAAAAACAAAACAAAACCCCAACCATTTGGCCCCTGTAATTGTTGTTAGGACTTTGGATCACCTCCCGCCAAAGAAACCCACCAGTAGCTAGCAATGAATTAATCTTAAAAACCAGTAGCGGGTACCGCGCGCGCCTGCTCTGCATATGCGTGCCGGGTGGCGTGACTGATGGGTCTATTAACATCATGCATGTGGGAGAAGAATAGCGCGCATATCCACAAATTTCATCTTCCCCGACAAAGACCGGGCAACGCAGGTTTCTGTCTCCGGAAAAATTCTGGTTCATTCGAGAAGCTCATCGCGGGTGGCAGGCCCCTGGCCAGGCGCGCTCTGGGGCGACCGGGCCGCGCTCCCACCCCCGCTCCCGCAGCCCGGCCCGCGGGACAGAGGCTCCCGATACGTCGGCGGCAAAATGTAATAATAGGTTTGATTCCTTGGAAACTTCAAGTGAAAAGCAGACTTGGCCTTGGCGCAGCTCTTTTTCCAGCGTGACAATTTGGCGGGATTGAAAGGCCGGGCCAGAAAGGAAGGGGGGAGGGGGAAAGGGCGCGGGGTTCCCGAGGCGCCGAGCCCAGGGAAGTGGGCCCGGGTTCTTGCCCCCCTCCCTTCCCCCCCCCCCCCCCCCCATTCTGCAGGGTCGGGAGTTGCGAGGGCTCAGAGAGTGCCGGCCGGGAGGGAGGCCGGGGCGGGGAAGTGGGCAGGCAGGGACCTTCACCTTCGCCCTCTGCTCGCGGCCTGGGCCTGTGTTTCCCAGCCCGGCGGGGTGCCGCTGAGTTCCTCCCTGCCCCCACTCCTTTCCCCGGCCTCCCTTCCTGCTCCTCCCACTCGCCCTCCCTCCATCCTCTGTGCCCTTCCTCTCCAGCTGCGCGCCCGCCCCGGGGATCCAACTGATGCTGCCGGGGGCGCCCTGCGCCCAGAATCCGGGTCCTGGGTCCCCTCCCGACGGGGGACAACAACACCCCCACCCCCACTCTCCGCCTTCCCAAGGTCGCCCTTCTCTTGCTCGGTGCACAATTAAGCTCTGAGCAGGGGGCGATTTCCCGGCCTTCGCTCCTCGTCCCGCTCATTTCTTTTCCTCTCCACCTCTCTGGAATCCCCTTCCAGGCGCGGTATCCATCCACGTCTCCTTTCCTTCCTCCTCTTCTCTCCCTTCCTCTCCTCCCTGCCTCCAGCATCTTCCCTTCTTCCCTTTCTCTCCGGCCTTCTCTTTGTCTCTCCTCGCCGCCTCCTGCGTCCTCCAAAGCTTGGCCCCCGGTGGTCCCGGCGGCAGCCCGGGATGTTCCCTGTGGAGCTTGGGTCCAGGTTGGCCGGTGCTTGGGAGCTGCCGGTCCCCAGCCTTCCCTGGGCTGCGCCCCCGCGGGCTCGGAGCGGGAGGAGCTGGGGGTCCAAGGGTCCTCCTTGCAGCCTGCGGCCTGGGCGCCCGCCCCCCAACTCACTTGGGTGCAGCCTGGGCTCAGGCCGGACCGGGCGGGGTGTCGGCCTCCGGGGGGATTAAGAGAACTGATGCGAGGGAAGAGGGCAAAGTGTTTTTTGTGTTTGAAGAGGGCAGGATTAGTGGAGAGAAAGTCCTGACCCGAGGTCAGCTGCAAGTCAAACCCTTTTACAATCAGCCAGCGGAACAGGCAGGTCTCCGGGTCCGGCCGCAACAAGTGGGAGAAAGGAGGGGGGAGGGAGGCGGGGGGGGGGTGAGGGGAGGGCGGTGGCCCGGACGTAGGGAGATCCGCACCCCGGGGCAAGTGGGGGGGGCGGGGTCGGCAGGGAGAGCTACACACCGGCATCCCCGGCCCCAGCCCTCACGGTAGGGGCGCCCGTGGCGGGAATCGGCGC